CTGCTAAGCAAGAGGTTCATAGTTTGATCCTCAGTGACCTCACACACTTGTTTTAAGCAACAAGTGTGGGTTGGTTGGTTAGTGTGCCGCCTGCTAAGCAAGAGGTTCATAGTTTGATCCTCAGTGACCTCGCACACTTGTTTTAAGGAGCAAGTGTGGCTTGGTTGGTTAGTGTACCGCCTGCTAAGCAAGAGGTCCATAGTTCGATCCTCAGTGACCTCACACACTCGTTATAAGGATCAAATGTAGCTTGGTTGGTTAGTGTGCTGCCTGCTAAGCAAGAGGCCCATAGTTTGATCCTCAGTGACCTCACACACTTGTGATAAGGATCAAATGTAGCTTGGTTGGTTAGTGTGCTGCCTGCTAAGCAAGAGGTCCATANCCATAGTTTGATCCTCAGTGACCTCACACACTTGTGATAAGGATCAAATGTAGCTTGGTTGGTTAGTGTGCTGCCTGCTAAGCAAGAGGTCCATAGTTTGATCCTCAGTGACCTCACACACTTGTGATAAGGATCAAATGTAGCTTGGTTGGTTAGTGTGTTTCACAAGTCACAAATTCTTTATTTTATTTTGATCTTACATCGATCTTGTCCTGAGGTGCTTGTAGAGGTTCGTTTTGATTTGCAGAGTGCACAGCTTGATGAGACAAGTAAAGGAACAGCGGTACTTCTGTATCGTGATCCTTGATTATGTCAACAGCTTCGTATGTGAAGAGCTCGGTTCCATATATACCACTTAAATTCTTTGCGCTGATTGGCTGAAGATAGAAAATGATGTGCACAAGTAGGGGATTCGAACAGCAAATGAACTTTTAATCTTCGAGGTCTAGTATTTTTTCCATTTCAGACCACATGTCATTCCCTAGAGTATAGTTTCTTTGTTTAAAGGATGCGCACGAGAAGACCAATGAATATGTATACAACTTAAACAAAGAATCTTATTCTCAAGAGAATGACGCGATATGAAATGGGGAAACAATACACCCAAGCTGAAAGAATCTGTTTTAATTAATCCAAACTATGAATAGATCTCTTTAGCTTGGGCGTACAGCTTTCTTATTTCAGACCACGTGTCATTCCCTTGAGAATAAGATTCTTTGTTCGAGCTGTATCCATATTCATGTGTCCGAGCACAAGCCTTAAACAAAGAAATGATACTCTAGGGAATGACATGTGGTCTGAAATGGGAAAAAATTACGTCAGAGCCGAAGACGTCTATTCCGTAACGTGCCAACGCCGCTTCTATGTCGAAATAATCTACGGTTGTGTTACTTACTTCCATATTGTCTCTCAAATCGATTCCCCAGAAATCATTCTCGTAGGACGAGTGATTCCAGTAGTCAGTTTTCGAGCCCCAGAAACCGTAGAACGAGTCAAAACCACGGTTAACTGGGGTATACTCTTTAGCAAAAAACCCTAGATGCCACTGGAATAAAAAGAGAGTACAAATACTAGAAATAAAAAGGAACGTTTTTCAACTTCCTATGACGTCATAACGTCCATGTTGGATAACCTAAGCATTAATAGAATTATAGATGTCGAAAAGCTCAAAGTTATTTATTGGTAATGTTTTTCTGGAGCTTCAGTGTAAAATTTGCTTGAAGATGAGTTATTTTGTTCAACATGGTATCCTACCTTGCCAACCCCAGCTGTGCGGTAACCCTGTGTTTTAAGATACTGCGGTAAAGTAATCTCGTCCAGCGGTAATCCATATGGCTGTGCTGCGTATATTACAAAATGCTGCATACCTTATAATAGACATAAGAAATGCAAATAACGATATAATTAAAAATAAGTTTAAAATCAATACTGAGTTTCTCACCTAGGTGCATAGGAAGCATTAATTGGCCTTATAATCTGCATCATTTAACCTGCATTATATTTTGTTTGGCTCGGATCGTACATACAAAGGTGTATATATTTTGTTGCCGAGCTCCCTGTGTTCCTGCCGGCCTGTGCGTATAAGGCCCCGTCCACACGTATCCGGAATTTTTTGTATCCGCAATTTTTTTTTTTCGGATACGGGTTGCGTCCACACGTGTCCGGAAATTTTTGTATCCGTATCCGGAAATTTTCGAAAACGGTCTCCAGAGTGGAAATTTTCGAATACGCTACAAATACGGATACGTGTAGACTGTCGTATCCGCAAATTTTCGAATACGCTGACGTAAACACAATTTTGCGCATGCTCAATAAGAAAAACTATCCGTCAAAGGGACTAGGGCACTAGCGTGCATCAGGGCGGATCATGAAATTTCCGGATACGCGTGGACAGTGAAAACGATTCGAATACGCTGCGTGTGGACGCGAACATTTTCGTATCCGCAAAAAAAAAAAAAAATTTGCGGATACGTGTGGACGGGGCCTAAAATATTTCACTGGGTTCCCTCTGTCCTTACCTAGGCGTATTGGGTATTTCCCCGTTATGATCGATGCTCTTGTTGGTGTACATATTGGTGATACGTAGTAGTTGTTTAGTATTACACCGTTATTTGCCAAACGGTCGATGTTTGGCGTGGGGATCTGGGGTGAGCCATGAAAGCTGACGTCATCCCAACCCTGTACGCATAAATAATTCATGTGGTTTATTGAAGTTGAACCGAACCTTCAAACTAAACATAAACACACACAAAAATAGCAATTAGACCCACAGATAGAGGTTTAGAGAGAAAGACAGACAGACAACTTAAGAGTAAGAGAGATTTGAATTTTAGAAGTCTGTGCTCAAACTTACCAGATCATCTGCTATTATAAATACGATGTTGGGTTTTTTCGTCTTTCCAAAGCCAACTGAACAAACAAGCAACAGAATCGACGCGAACAAAAGAGCCCTGAATGACAAATAAACTTGTTTGGATCGGAAATGACACGAAGTACTAACAAAAAGGAATGCTAGCAAAGTGATGGCGGTGGATGTTGCTTAAGCTATGAACATAGATAACAATCGTTTATAAATATATTATTTAGAGTGTTTTTACTCTGAATTCATGATGACTTTCATAAGCGCAAGGTCGTACTTCTTTGGTCGGTAATCCTGAAAGAACTTCCATCCGATCGCCATTTTACTGTTGTGGTTTAAAACAAACAGCCCAAGTTTGTTTCAACTAAACTCTTTTAATCAGTGCGTTGCTAAGGTAATTCCCTTGAAAACTTTGTCCTGAAACTTTGCATGGACATTAATTATGTTATGGACATTTAAAAACTGAAATAAAAAATGGGGTCACCATTCTCGTTTTTTCGCTAGATGCTCTCCAAATATTTATGATAATAGTTTCCGAAAGAAAAATGCCTAAACTTTGTTAGTTCCATGCTTTCAGTTGCTTGCGCAGAAAAATGCGCAGTGCAAAACAAGGAAATTACCTTAAGGAGCAATCCGTTGGATTCTTATCTATTTGTTTCTAAATAATCAAGAGCTGAATCTAATCTTACTATTATTGGGTGTATGTGACGTTATGGCCTTCATTTTATTTGATTTAAAAAAACATTTTGTCTTTGTGTTTTTTGCAATGACACCCAACATGCCGGCCACGGCTTTTTTTGCCTTTCACTCTCATGGGAAAGAATGCGCGCCACCAATGCAGCAGTTTTGCATTCGATGCATACCGCTATTTTTGAAGACTACACAGACTCATTTGCACAGGCTTAGCCTCGTTTATAAGTCAGCTATTCACAGATAGCATTAAAAGTCCGTGCGATTTCAAAACGTCGGTGTTGTCAACTTGCACATTCTTTACATTACAGTTGTCTTTTGCAAATGGTTCGCTCTTAAGCGATGCTAAACCTGTGCAGATGAGTCTTTATTCATAAAACATAGAAGTAAAAAAAAAACCAATGAGAAAAGGGACTAATTGAAGTCTGAACCATAAATGTTAATGGTCCTTGGATATTATTCACCACAGGTGCTGACACAGTTCCAAGAGATCTCCAAAACAAGGCAGAAAATACTTGAATTGCATGGATCAATAACCGCCTTGGATGGGCAAAAGAGACGAATAATCCACGGATAACAAAGACAATGCACAAGCGGATGGCATATCATTGATATGGTAGGTTTTGACAATATCTTACCCACTCACCCCACCCCCTTAACGAATGTGTTCGTAAACCGCAGATTGATGGACCGCGGAACCTGCGGAACAGCCTAAGTAAAAAATTTCAATGCATCTTTAAGCAAAAAGACATTTATACTGATTCATTCAATACTATTGTTTATACAATATTTTCTACAATAAACTCTTTTTTTTTTTTTTTTTTTTTTTCAACGCGGCTCTCCATTCCGCCATCTTGCTTTTCGATGAAAAGCGCATCAAAGTAGACGGTTGAGATAGGGACTAGTTAAATCCCATGAAGACGCTATAAAAACGTAATATAGAGTATAGGCTCTTTATAAGAAAAAAATAAGAATGCATTGTAACCAATATTGTATAGTCATGTTGAATGTGTCTTTTTGTATATAGGTGCATTATTGGAGAAATAGAAAACGCGCGTGCGTGCTGTGTGTAGTTATAAAGCACGTGGAGGTTAGCAGAACACGAGAAAAGTGTTAGGAGAAGCACGACGCGTATATATGCGAAGTGCTTTTCGACACTTCTGTGTGTTCTGGCAACCTTCAAGTGCTTTATAACTCCACACAGCACAGAAACCAAGTTTTTTATTTCTTTTATAACATGCATATCACAATAACCATAAGATAGGAATGACGCAACTGAAAGAGCGCGCGTGTGCTGTAAGCTCATAAACCACGCGCTCCTTACCAATCAGAACTCGAGATTCGTGACAGCAGTTATTTTATAAAGTAATTTATTTTGAGGTTGTTCCGCCGTTCCGCCGTTCATCAATCCCGGTTTACTAACACCCGAAATATAAGTTAGAAATTAGTGCATTTTATTTGAAGTTAGTCTAAATATCCCACTTTACTCGTTTGACGTACTTTTCGAAGTTTTGTCATGGAGGGTCAATCTTTAACAAATTTGGTTGTACCAAAAATATTTCAGCAACGACTTAAGAATAAATAGCACAATAATGTCAAGTTGTTGTATCAAGTTATGGTTCACGTACGAATATAGATCTTAAGTTTAAATATGGTAATATGACTAAGTGTAGCATGAACTAAAATTCTCTGCGTGTTTATTTTTTCGTACCTTCTTGACCTATCTATCTCGTATCTCTTTATTTTATATAAGATTCAGTTTGTTTATAAACCGTACCTGTCCCGGCTAATATTATGATGTACTGTCGTGCCCCATAAAACGCCATAAGATATTAGACACGGTAGAAATGATATTTGAAGATTATTACATACAAAATATTTTACCTTTTAAACTTTGGCCAATCCATTCCATAATCCAAAACTACCCATGCCCCGTTTCTTATTACTCGTTTAGTGTAAAGCAGGAATGAATATAATTTGTATTGATAAAATAATGTCAAAAAAATCTTTCGGGCGAGCCATAAATTATTGAAATGAAACAACAGGTGCTTTTTTGGTTAATATTGTTTACAAGGATTGTAAAACGACTGTTCAATAATTTTGATCTAATAACCTCTTCATATTTCTATTATATTAAGAGGTTTCTCACTAAATCGCTGTGAAATTATCTTTGTTTGGCTCATAGCCTTCCTGTTTTTGGCGTGTTTGACAAGGACCCCAGTATTTTCTAAAATTACATTCAATCTTCACTCGTAAATAATATTTCGATTCTTTTTCATGGAGCAGAATTTTTTCTTCGTCCTGATAGCTTCATCCTAAATTTTATGGATCAAAATATCGTATTAAAACGGGTCAAAATCGAATAGAT